ACATGTAAGGTATCACGCAAATTCTGATGATAAGGATGGAGGCATCAGTGGAGGGCCATTTCATTCAGAGTAAAAGCTAGAGTATTAGCAGGGTGCCACCATGGCACACATCTGTAGTCCCAGCAATCTGGGAGGCTAAGGCAGAAAAATTGTAAGTTAAAGGCCAACCTCAGCAACTTAACAAGGCTCTAAGCAATTTAGTGAGAACCTGTCTCTAAATAAAAAATTTTCAAAAAGGGCCAGGGATGTAGCTAAGTGGTTAAGTGCTCCTGATTTCAATTTCTCCTAGTACCAGGGGAAAAAAAGCCAGAGCTCTGACAATGCCCAACAAGATCCTATGTGGACTGGTCCCCACTTGCTTTCTAAGTTCATGTCTTACACCTCTCCCCCTAGCTCCTTCCATTCAAACTACCTTACTCTTCTTACTGTTCCTCAACACACAAGCTCATCCCAGGACCTCTGCATATGCTGTTCTCTGTCTGAAGGGCTCTTTCCCACTTTTAAGTGTCTGCTTAAAAGGCACCATCCTATGAGTGAAGTTTTTTCAGGTCACTTCTCCCCAAGCTTGGCATACTTCATATTTTCCAAGACCACTTAATACCATGTGACATGCTATGTTTGTGTTCTTCCTCACTCCCTCCCTTCATCCCTCCCTCTCTCCTGCTCCCTCACTAGAACATCAGATCCGTAAGGGATGGTGTCTCGCTCTCTCATCATAATCCCTAGTAAATATATGAAGCAGGATCTCAATAAATGCTTGTTGAGTACATGAATTTTACTTTACTGGACAAGTAATTTCCTTGTTCCTTGGCCTAAAGTAGAAACTTAATAAATGAATAAATGGACAGGTGAGTGACAGGAGTATACCTAATACTCCACAGGTATATGGATGAACATAAAAGCCAGTACTGTATTGTTTAGAAACCAGACAATATGGTTTAAGTAACTTCTGTGAGGATGCACAATGAAAGGAGAGTAATAGAATTACACATTAAATCTCCAGCGAAGCCTCAGGCTTTATTTTGCTGCGTTCCTGCGTGTTCTTGCATCTGACAAGTCAGAACTCATCTGGGTTTCCTTTCTTGGCAGAAACACTCTCACCAACAAGGTTTCAAATTAATAAACTCTAGGTTTATTCTGAAAGGACACTTCACAGAAACCTCAGGGGCATTTACCTTGCTTATTCAGACATGTACAAAATAAACATGCAGGAGGGAAATCATCATCCACACTTTAAAATACTCCCAAAGCAAACCTGCAGCTGGGGAATAAGCTCTAAGTACGTTCAGTGCCCAGCACTGCTCCTCACCAGAAGCGGCTTCCAGATGGTCACCTGAGGTAGAAGGTAGACGGACTCAAATATTCCTTCCGTGGTACATGTTCACTGGGAGGCAGGAACCACGGGGACAATGCAACTGGCGTGGAATGGAACTACAGAATAGCATTTCGTTTTGCAGAAGCCACCTCAGCCACATTTTGCAAAGTGCTCTTCTAGCCTTGCTCATATACCAGCCAAGTCATCAGGCAACTGCCCTCACGGCTGCTCTTGCCACCATCTTGGGAGGACTGGGAAGGGGTTGTCTTTTGTTTAAAATTAGAAACTGAATTTCTAGGAATCTTCTTATTGGCTAATGGGTGGGAAGGAGACCAACACAGTGGCCAGGAACACAGGCTGTCACGGCCAAGTTTTACCTCTGTGATTCAGTTCTATCCCTGCAGACATGTCACCAACCCTCCGGAAGCCTCCGTGTCCTCACTTCTAAAAAGTTGGCTTATTATTCTCATGACAACTATAAGAGACATTGAAGGGAAATGACTTCTCCTAATGCCCTGGCACATGAGGCCTGCATACATACTAGCTAGTACTATATTACTATTACATCATTCTTGACTGAAAATAATCACTGTTCAAAAATACCCAGGCATGGTGGCACATGCCTGTAACCCCAGCCACTCAGGAGGCTGAGTCAGGAGGATCGCAAGTTCATAGCCAGCCTCAGCAACTTAGTGAGGTGCTGAGTACCATAGTGAGACCCTATCTTTAAAAAAATTTTTTTAAAGGGGTGGGCAGGGATGTAGCTCAGTGGTTAAAGGTCCTGGGTTCAATAGAAAGAAAGGGAGGAAGAAAGAAAGTAACTAAGTAAGTTAGTTAGTTGTATTCATCTTGAGCATGTTGAGTTTAGATGTGTAAGAAACTCCCAGGGGGGTTAGCATATATTTCCAACTAAGCATCTCTTAACACATAGAAAAAATTCCATCAAACAAGTTTTGCTAGGTGTAGCTCGTCATTGAAAGACTTTCCCTTCAATTGTACTTCTGAATAAAAACAAAATATAATTTGTATTGAAGAATTTAATAGAAATATTGACATAGAGAATTTAAATAAACTAAGTAACAGGATTCAGATTAAAAAATAAATGAGCAGGCATGCATTGGTTCAACTAGGAATTTTTCTAATAATTACCATCTAGTAAAATAATTGTTTAATCAAATATCCTACATGGCCTCATGACTTGAAAAACGAACTAAAAGAGCAAGAAAATACCCATTTATATTTCCATTTCTTCCAAGGACATTAACCAAGGAGACATGTGACAAGTATCAGTGGCCTTTATCATATTACACAAGGATTCATCTACACATGAAGCTCAGATTCAGTAGGTTAGGGAGAAAACAGTATTGGTAGTCTGCAATAACTTCCAAAACATGGTTAATGCTAGCATCTACGGTTAACAATCACTGCACAAAATCTCTATTTTGACAAGAAGTTTTTTGCCTTCATTTTTTGTTTGTTTCTTTTTTTGCCAAAAAGCTTTTCTGGATCCTGTACTTTGTCTCTTCCAAGGCAGGACTTGACGACATGTAACTCAGTAAAGAAAAAGTGCTAAGTTACTCATCAGTCCTTAAAATCATAAAAGAAATCTTTCTGGTCAAACCCCAATAATGGAATAGAAGGAGATGGTCAAAGTGGAGGTCAAACTTTGCGTTCATTCCATGAAATTATGTACTTCCCAGCAGAACTCCGTTCTGTCAGGAGTGTGCTCTATGTGCATGTACCTACAGTGCCACCACCAGCCACTGAGCATCTGAAATGTGGCCAAAGGCTTCTGTACTGGACAGCACAGCTCCAGGCAGAGGTCACACTTTGCCTGCTCACAGTCTTCCTAACACCTTGCTGTCCAAGGACCCAAGGTTCTATGTTTTTTTAATTTCTTTTTTTTTAATTATTTTTTATTTATATATGACAGCAGAATGCATTACAATTCTTATTACACATATAGAGCACAATTTTTCATATCTCTGGTTGTATACAAAGTATATTCACACCAATTCGTGTCTTCATACATGTACTTTGGATAATAATGTTCATCACATTTAATAATGTCCACCATCATTTCCAACCCCATGCCCCCTCCCTTCCTCTCCAACCCCTCTGCCCTATCTAGAGTTCGTCTATTCCTCCCATGCTCCCTCTCCCTACCCCACTATGAATCAGCCTCCTTATATCAGAGAAAACATTTGGCATTTGGGTTTTTGGGATTGGCTAACTTCATTTAGCATCATCTTCTCTAACTCCATCCATTTACCTGCAAATGCCATGATTTTATTCTCTTTTATTGCTGAGTAATATTTCATTGTGTATATATGCCACATTTTTTTTTATCCATTCATCTACTGAAGGGCAACTAGGTTGATTCCAGAGTTTAGCTATTGTGAATTATGCTATAATAAACATTGATGTGATTTTTTTTAGTACTGTAGATTGAACCCAGGGGCTCTTAACCTCTAAGCCATATCCCCAACCCTATTTTTACATTTTATTTAGAGACAGGTCTCACTGAGTTGCTTAGGGCCATTAGCTAAGTTGTTGAAGGCTGGCTTTGAACTCGAGATCTTCCTGCCTCAGCTTCCCAAGCCGCTGGGATTGAAGGCGTGTGCCACTGTGCCTGGCTCCAAGGTTCTTGTTCCATTAACAAATTTAGTAAATTTTCCTCGAGTGTATCCCTCCAGCCTGGCACGTGTAGGCACTGGGGGTATAGCAGGGAACAGATAAGAAAACGTCCCTGTCCTCCTGGTACTTACATTTCAGTGTATAATAGCTGCCCTCTTTAAAACCACCACACCAATATAAAGAACTGTTTTCTCAAAGAAATATGAGGTAAATGCAGTTTTTTTAAAATTACAGCATTTGAGTGCGGAAAAGCAAATAGTCAAAATTCGAGAAAATATGATTCAAAAGACTGAAGAAATGACAGAAAGACTCAGGAGAGGAAAGATGTGATGAATGTACTCTTTGCAGGAGTGCTAACATCTGTGGTTGGGGGGATGGGGACAGCACAACCTCAGTAACCCAACTGCTGATTGGGAGGTCTGCATGTGAGGACAGCCAACATCCACCCTGAGCCACTAGGAAGACCAGGAGGGGGACTGAGACTCAGCAGCCAGGAATAGGACCAAAGAATTCTTACAGACCCCATTTAACAATTCTCACTGGAGACGGAACCGGGACAGAACCAAATTCATGACTGGAAAAGGCATTTTCCATGGAATAGAACTAATACTTTTTATGTGGTAAGTTTTTAGGGGCAAGGAAAAAAAAATAGAGGATTAAAGAAAAGTAAGAGTGATACTTTGGTAAGTCATTAATAACCCAATCAGAACCTAGAAGGCATACCCAGCTAGGAAATGAAGCGCTATAAATAAGACCATTACTACACCCCAGCTCTTCCCATGACACCACACAGGTTCTGCTGAGCTGGGTCAGCATCCATCAGCAGTTTCTGAGATGCTGGACACTCCAGGTGTAGAACACAGCAGCTGAGCAGGTCAAACCCTCAATGGCTGACTCTGGTCAATGACAAATGGCCCTGAGATGATGAGAATCGGGTGCCTGGGAGTAGGGTTTGCCAAGAGGAGGAGAGCAGTCGTTTGGAATTGCTGCATTTGGATAATTATTATTAATGTAACCCAAGACCCAGACCATCCGTCAGCAGTCTTACCTAGTTCTGGGGGCAGAACGGTCAAGCGGTTCCCCTGAATGTGGAGCTCCTTAAGCTGCGTTAGCTCCCCGATTTCCTTAGGCAGTGAGATCAGGTCGTTATCCCTAAGGCTGAGCTAAATACAAGAAAACAAGGAGTTGTCAAAACAATTTCTCACAACGAGGTACTCGACTGAAACTCTTGTCCTCTTCCATGCCCTCTCTCCTTCTCAGGCTCAATCCCTTCAATTTATTTACAAGTGTCTGTGGCTAAACAAGAAACAGTAGCAGGAGTCGTGGCTCATTCCTGCAAAACAAACCTCACTCCTGCTCAAATTGACTTGATTCTACTCCTACAAGGGCTGCAGAAGTGAATTGATTTTCTAAGAATTTAGATAAATTACTTACTATCTGCAACTTTGTGAGCTTCCCAATATCTGGCGGCAGGATTTCAAAATCGTTGTCACTTAGATAGAGTGCACGCAGGGTGGCTGCAAATTAAACAGCAATATATAAACAGGGTGGCATGGAACCCAACCATTTGAGGTCTGATCAATACAAGGGAGTCAGCTTTGATTAATAACCCTGGCTTGGTGAAAAGCCTGTGACATACCTAGGGCTTACTATAATAACAAGCAGGTCAAACTCAGATTTACTGGCTGATTGTGTAGCTGGTGTGTCCAGGAAAACATCTATATCCAAGAGGACTGACACAATTAACAACTGTGGGCACCACTCGCAGTTTTTGGCACAGAGTTTCAATGCATTTTCAGGAAAGATAGCTATTTTTCTCTATTACTTCTGATTCAAGTTTATCACTCCATTTGCATCCAAAATGAGACAAAGAGAACCACTGTGTCACTTACATGAACACCTAGAGCAAAAGGGCTCTTTCATGTAAACTGTGTCACAATAGAGTTTTCTTATGTAAACAGAGAGATGCTCAAAATAAATAAGGAAATGAAGGCTTTTGGTGATGGGAGTCATAACCAAGGCTCATGGCTTCCACTGTCAGACTAACTGCTGATCCTTGCTCCTATAGCCTTAATGACAAAAATATGAAGACAAAAGGGCTGAAATGATGTCATGGAGCAAGAGTGAAGCCCAACCTCAGGAGAATTACCAGGAGGCACTTTGTTCACAATTATAAAGTGATGCTTTGACCCCAAAGCACTGAAGTCTGAAATTCTAAAGCATCAATTGTCCACAATAAAAAAGGGGAGTTATAATTAGATGTATGCTTTTAAAAAAATGTATTTACAGGTATTCTCTTTTAAAATTTGGCAGAACTATACGTTAATATATGTAACACAGACAATATAAACTTGGCCAAAGAAAGAAAATATTTTCAAATTGGTTTCATGTGCTTGGGAAAGTCTGGGAAAAGCAGTGTACACAATATAAAAACTGAAATTCTAGAGGCTACCTCGGAAAATTCAGATTTTCTGCAAGCCTGAGATGTAGCTATTTGGAGAAGTAGAATATTCATTTAAAGGAGGCAATCTTTTCCTAAATATTTCATGAGTTCCTAGAAAATTAAGTTTTTCCTAACTTTAAGGAGTACCTGCAACAAGAAGTTTGTTTGTATATAAAAAGATAAAGTATATTCATCTATTACCAACAATTGCTTCATGTTTGCGTACTGGAAAAACTGACAACACCAGTAAAGTATTTTTTATAAGGCTTAAAACCAGAATCCTGGCTAGAAAATTTTAAAATTCTGTTAACAGTTTATTAATGGTATTTTCATAAATAATTGTCTGGAATATCTTTAAGCAAATATCCTACAAAAAATTAATAGCAACATGGGAGTCCTTTTTTTTTTCTGGCATATTCTTAAAAAAGAAAGTCAAATTTCTTAGCTAAATGTGAGACTTGATCTCATTTAGTACAAAAATCTCTCTCAGAAAGTTAATATGACGTTACTAAGTCCACTCCTGCCCAGAGGTGTCAGATAACTATATATCAAATATACATACTGCTGAGCTATGAAGGAATATTCAAAAGGAGTCTGTAAAGAAAAAAATATATATGTCTCATAATTTCTCTTAAGAGTTTGGGCCCTGGCAAATAAATTTCACTCTTAGAATGCAAAGTACCATGTTAAAAAGATTTATAGAATAAAAAGTTTCTTACTAAGGTAAAAGAAATTTCCAGGAAGAGAATTTTCACTCAAGTTGTTGTAAGTCAGGTCCAGGACCTCGAGAGCTGGAAGAGAGCCAAATCCTCGAGGCAGAGTGTTCAGCCTGTTCATCCTGTCATTGGGGGAGAAAAACCTGTCATCACATGCAAAAGATGTTTACACGCAATACTGCATATTCACACTAAACCTGGTTGGACAGGCTGAGGGTCTACAAGGGATGCCAAGATTCTAGGGGCATTTTATGTTACTTTTCAAATTTTTATTATTAAATTTCTTTAACTGACAAGTAAGAATTGCACATACTAATGCTGAGCAGCATGGGGCAATGGGTACAAAGTCAAACAGCTAAATCAAGCTATCGCCCATACGTATTACCTCTTAGATATAGTTTGAGCATGTATGAGTATGTAAACACACTCATACAAACACATACACTACTCTCAGCAACTTTCAAATAAGCCATTCGTCACCATGATGCACAATATTCACTCCCCGTCTGACTGAAATTTTATGTGCTTTGACTAACATCTCCCCACTCCCCCTTCCACTGGGACTCTGGTAGCCCCCATTTTATTCTGAGTTTAACATTTTTTCTTCTTCTTCTTTTTTTTCCCCACTGGGGATTAAACCCAGGGGTGCTACCACTGAGCTACATCCCTAGTCCCCTTTATTTTGGGAAAGGGTCCAGCTAAATTGCTGAGGTTGGTCTTGAATTTGTGACCTCTGTCCCAGTGTCTGGAGTAGCTGGGATTACAGGCATGTATCAATGCACCTGGAGAATTTGGGTTTCTACATCCTACACATAAGTGAGATCATGCAATATATTTATCTCACATGGTATAATAATTTTTGTCACTCACATGGTATAATAATTTTTATCAGAGAATATATATTTTTGTGACACATTTGAAAATTTCTTGTACTCATATTCTCCAATGGTCAATTTCAATTACGGTTTTATGTAGAAACAAACTATCACAAAATATCTGTCACCTAGAGAAAAACTTCTCTACAAATGTATCAATAATACTTCACAATTTTGGACTTTTTATTTCATTTATTCGTGTGTGTGTGTGTGCGCGCGTGTGTGTGTGTGTGCGTGTGTGTGTGTGTGTCTGGTTTTTGTTTGGTTTGGTATCAGGGACTGAACCCAAGGATGCTTTACTACTAAGCTACATCCTCAGCTCTTTTTACTTTTTGTATTGAGATATGGCCTTGCTAAGTTGCTGAGGCTGGCCTTGAACCTGCACTCCTCCTGCCTTAGCATCCTGGGTCACTGAGATTATAGGCATGTGCCACTACACCTGGCTACTTCATTTATTCTTTTTAATGGGAGGAGGATATCAATTTTCTGATGTACAATTACTAAGATTGAAAACCATCTGCAATTAGAGTGTTTTCTGCCAGGGGCTGGGAGAAGAGGGAAGGAGTTGTTTATTGGGTATAGAGTTTCAGGCCTGCAAAACCAGAAACTTCTAGAGATTGGTTGCACAACAATGTGAAAATATTTACCACTGACTCGAACATATACTGCTAAATGGTTAAGATGGTAAATTTTAGGACCCCACCTATGCAACTATGCAATTAAATACAGAAAGGTTTATACAATTGATAAATTTAGGACTGTCCCCCTGAGCAAACTTAAAAGCCAATTAAAAAGCTTTAATACAAGTTGACAATTACCAAAATGTGGAGGGACGTGATAATAAAGGTCATTCTAGTCACCAATCCTTCTCCTAACAGATCCAGTGCTGTCCAGCTCCACCAATCAGGCCTCACAAGAAGGACAGTTGAAGGGGAAACCAGAAGAAAGTGGATTCTGTCTCTCAGGCAGGAAAGTTCCAGGTGGAATTCACACAAGGCAAATGACCTCAATGACTATTTACTATCATGAACAAAATTTACTCATATTTTCTATGAATTCACAATTTGTGAAGCACATTTATGTCCAGTATTTCACTTGATTCATTAACTACTAAGTGTGAGTGAGATGAACTCTAGCAATCAATCAGGTCCAAAATTATTCCAGAATAGCTGGTCTTGTGAGCATCAGAATAAACAGCAAATTATACAACTTTAAAAGTAAATTCTGGTTGAGTGTCCCCTTTAGACCCTAAATACGTGTGGCCTAACTGCTCAGTTTTATAGTCTCCTGAGGGCCTATTTTTATTCTGGCTGCTTATTCTAAGGAATCCTCTCTACAATTTGTCTTAACCTTGTCTTGCTGTCTGTGTATAATTCTTTACACCATTTGAGGATAGAGTTCCTTTATTGAAATCTATCCTGATTTCTTTTTCAGAGAACTAAAAACTTTGGTGCAAACTTTGACGACCCCACCTATGCAACTATGCAATTAAATACAGAAAGGTTTGTACAATTGATAAAACACCAAGAGCCAAAAAAGCAAACTCCAAAGAGAACAAGCAAAACTAAGACATACATAATGAAAAACAAAAGTTTACCACTCTGTCCTACGGAACCTCAAATCCAACTGAATAAAACCCAAGCTCATTATCTTCCCAAACTTATCTCCATTTATATTTCTATTTTAGCTGCACAACACAGCTCTGGGTATCCCCCCATCCCCTCTGTTACTGTCTTCAGTTTTCCTCATGTTTTCCCCACGAAATCCTTCTCCTGCCTCCACCATCACCACCCTAGTTCCCCAGGAATACCAAACTGGTGTTCTCAATGGCCTCCCGATCTGCATTCCAGCCCCTGCCAATCATCCTCCACACTGATCTTTCATACAAAAATCTGACCTCTTCTCATATCCACTAATCTGCTGCGCAAACTTCTCAATGTTCAGCAGGATAAAAATCAAAGCTCCCTTCAATGGCACTTTTGACTCTCTGCCACGATTGACGTCTATTTGTTTATAGTTAGGTTCCTAAACTGTAACATGAGCTCTGTATGGGCTGGTAAGTAGTACTGAGAATAATACCTGATACCTGGCTGGGAGTTCAATAAACTCATTAAATGAACAGCAGAGCAGGGCATGGTGTGTACCCTGTAATCCCACCTACTTGGGATGCTGAGACAGGATGATTCCAAGTTCAAGCCTGGGCAACTTAGTGAGACCCTGCCTCAAAATAAAAATAAAAAAGTCAGGGGATGTAGCTCAGAGGTCAAGTACCCTGGGTTGAATCCCCAGTGCCATCCTCCCCAAACAAAGGAGCAGCAGAGACACATTCATGATTGTCTATAGCCTTGCCTCTCACCAATCATCCCTTGTCGCACACTTGACACTCAGCAACACAAATAAACTTGCAATAAGACTTTGTAGGACATGTGGTACAGTGCTCTGAGTTTTAAATATGTCACTTTATCAACCCGAGATGTCTTGCTGCTTCTAGTAAATGTCTTGCTGCTTTCTGATAAATTCCTTCTCGGGCCTCAAGCCTCAACTCCAATCCCACCTATGTGAGCCCTTCTGAGGACCACAGGAAGGCCAGCCTGCTCCTCTCTGCTCCCTCTGTGGCCCTACTTGCCCCAGCACACCTGTGACCCTGCTGGACCATTGCTGCTGACTGCCCACAGGCCCTGCTCTCATGCCTAAGACGCAAACCATGATTTTCACATTGCAACCCCAAGACTAGCAAAAGCTCCTGACATACAATAGGAACTTACATGACAAGAAATATATGAAAAAAGAAAAAAGTTATAGTAACAATAATAACTACTATGTCCTGCTCACCAGATACATAATGATGGAGATATACAGAACTACCTTAATAAATGAATGAATTAACAGTAAGAATGTACATACATGTCTAATTTTAGCTTCTTACTTACATACAAATTATACATTAGGACTTAATAATCTTCAAAAACAAGATTTAAAATGTAGGAGCCTCTCTTTTCTCCGTTGCCTGATGGGATACCATCTCCAGATTTCAGCAAGAAAAATAGGTTGCTACTGTGGAAACCAGTATGGAAGCTACTCAAAAGACTAGGAATGGGACCACCATGTGACCCACACAAACCACTCCTCACTATTTGTCCTGAAGAGTTAAAGTCATCATACTATAGTAATACATCATACCCACGTTTATAGCAGCACAACTCATAATACATAAACCATGGAATCAGCCTAGGTGTTCTCCAATGGATGAATGGATAAAGAAAATGTGGGATATATACAAACTGGAGATTATTCAGCCATAAAGAAAAATGAAATCATGTTATTTGCAGGAAAATAAATGGAACATGAGACCATTAGATTAAGCAAAATTAGCCAAACTCAGAAGGGTTAAGGGTACTGTGTTCTCTCTCATATGTGGAAGCTACAGAGGAAAAAGAAAAATAAAGATATGTTAAGGCATCTAATGAATATCAAAGGGAGATCAATAGCGGAGGGGAAAGGGATTAGGGGTAGGGAAATGGGAAATTCTGGGGAATGACAGGGGCCAAATTCATACTGTGTGCATATGTAACAACATCTGAATATGTAACAACAAATTCCGCCTTATGTACAACTATAATGTACCAATAAAATATGGAAAAAACAAAAATATGGGGTTGTGGCTTTGACTCAGTGGTAGAACGCTTGCCTCACATGTGTGAGGTACTGGGTTAGATTCTCAGAACTACATATAAATAAGTGAATAAAATAAAAGTCCATCAACAACTAAGAAAATTTAAAAAATAAACAAACAAATAAAAAATACAACCCATTCAAAAATAAATAAATAAGGGGATGGGGTTGTAGCTCAGTGGTAGAGCGCTCACCTAGCACGTGCAAGGCTCTGGGTTCAATCCTCAGCACCACATAAAAATAAATAAAATAAAGGTGTTGTGTCCAACTACAACTAAAAAATAAATATTAAAAAAAATAAATAAAGCAAGGTCTCGCTCTCCTTTAAACTCCATTTCCTTTCATACATTTGGAAAAGAATGCTCTTAGAAAGACGGTGTCTCAGCCAGAGTGAACATCAAAATAACACCGTCTACCTACACCCCCAGAGGAAAGAATGAACTAATACTCATTTCATGAATGAGACTTTTTTTTTCCATAATTGTTTCCTATTTAATTAATAAATACCTGGTCAGCTTCTATTGCCACTCCACGTAAATCGTTAGCTTAACTGGAGCATTTAGTGGATACAATTTAATTAATATATTACTTCGCACAAAAAATAAAGCATCAGTGGGCAGTTTCATCTAATACCTATGATGGTGGAGATAGAATTCAGAAGTGGAAGTTCTGGTTGGCATCTACGGAGAACGCATGGACCCAAACCAATGAAACTCTCCCCAGCTCAGCCACTGACCTCGGGTTATCAAGAACAAGTCACTTAACCCCTTGGGAAGGGCTTGGCTTCCTCTCTGTGAAATAAAAGCATTAAAGTCTGTCCTCCCCACCCCACAAATATTGAGGGGTCAAATGCTGGAGGGAGGACTCTGAAAACTACAAAGCAAGGTAGGAATACTAGGTATTATTATTATTCACTGTTACTTGGTTCTGCAAACTCAGCTACCCATCCCCCTGGATAAAGGAAGACTAACCTAAGGACACAGAAGAATTTCAAGAGTTAATGAGGTGGCTTTAGGGAATGGACAAATGTCCAACTTCAAATTGGTAAGAAGGTACTTTGTAAGCTATTTCTACTTAGTACAGGGTGGGCAGGGGAGCAGCTATATTATGACTTGTCTGGGCAGTTAATGTTAGCCAAATAAGTCCCTTTCTGGTCAACACAACTGAAATAAAATTTTATTGGAAACAAAATACAGTAAAAAAACTCCCTTATTGTGCCAACAATTAGCTTCTCAATTAGCTCTCAAGTAGATCTGCACTAATGCAGGCCATTGAAAGGATATATTAAAACAATAAAACTTTTTTGATAACCTAAAACATAAAAAGAAATTAGAAATCCACTTCTGTGCAATACTATAAATGGCAGTCGCCCCCGCCCCCACGCTGGGCTTCCCTTCCACTTCCTCCCTCACCTTCCTTTCCTCTCCCACCCTCCAGTACTCACCCAAGGTTCAGGTGTTTGAGTTTCTGAAGGCTGCTGATCTGTGTGGGCAGCTCCTCAATCTGGTTATTAAAAAAGTTAAGCACTTCCAAGTTCTTCAGTTCGGCTATGTTTGGTGGCACAGCTATGAAAACAAAGTGTAGAGTGAGAATCCAGGAACCTCCCTCCTAGCCAGGAATGCCAGCAACACATTCCACTTTTCTTTCAAAGGAAGGAGAAATGAAACTCCAACCTGACTCTCCAACTCACACACAGGTCTTATAGGTTTTGTGTAGGATTTTCTTAGGAACTAACTCACCACAGAGCAGAAGTGGGTGTGTTTCCTCCCTGTACAATTAGATAAAAAAAATTCTTGGCATCATTCAAATCAGATGGACAGTGAAGAGGAGAGCAGGGAATAAGAAAGGACAAAAAAGAATTTCTGTGCCACAGGCAGCCTAAAGTGAATATTACTAAGTATATATACGTCCAATCGTCCTATGTCGAGTAAGCACAATTGTTTTCTTCCTTTCTGTTCCCATGCATCTCCACCAGAAGAAAGATGGCAAACCCCCAAGTCCCTTCTTGAGTGATGATGCATTCAAGCCTTTTTAAACAAACCAGTATCTGAAGAGCTGTTGTCTTTAATGTTGTACCTAAATCACAATTCCAGCTTCACCCTTAACTGATCAAATATTCAGACTACATGGTTTCTGACTTTTGGCCTCTGGAGTAATATGCTTTGATCAATACACACACACACACACGGGTCACATCAGATTAGAAACTGATCAATACAATGTTATTATACAGAAATACAAAAAGCCAACTCAGTAGCATGCTATGAATAGAAGTATGCAGATCAAAGGAAAAATAAACCACCAGGGATCCAAAAGGGTCCCTCATTCCTGATATTCTAGACCTGCAAACAACCAATGTAAAAGCCAAAGGCATCGTTACCTCCAAAGTTCAGGCAGCCTCAGCATCAATATATGCCTCATCCATGAATTCAACCAACCGTGGATCAAAAATATTGGGGAAAAAATGCATCTGTACCGAATATACAGAGACTTTTTTTCCTGGTCATTATTCCGTAAATAATGCAGTATTATAACTATTTATATAGTATTTACATCATATTAGATATTATGTCACCTAGAAAGGACTTAAAGTATATGTGTGTAGGTTATAAATAAATACTGTTATTTTATATAAGGGACTTGACTATTCTTAGATTTTGTTATTCAAGGGGCTTCTGGAGCCAGGTCCCCAAGGACACTGACAGACAACTGTCCAAATCTTAATTTGACAGCAGAGAGTCTTTCAATAAATTGTCATTTTCCTATCCATTTGCTATTCAGTTTTTCTACAAACATTTTGTACGTGCCCTGAGCTTGCCCATGGTTCATGTGAACTCTAATACCAAGACTACTCAGGTAAGTGGAATTGTTGACACAAGCCTAAGTCCAGCACAAGGAAGTGGGTCATGTCTCGTGTGAGTGTGGTTCCTTCCCACAAGTCCCTCCCGGGAAAGCCAACCTGCCTGCCAGCTGGTCATACCTAAACTCAGAACCCAGGGCAGTTATGCTTAGAACCACTACCAAGGAGGGTGTAAAAATCCAAACACGCATCTGAAATATTTAAGGGGATAGCAGTTCCAAGAACACCAGCTGATACTCCCAGAAGAAAAGGTAAAGAGAACAGGCACACTACACTCACATCAGTTCTGAGGAATCATTTTTCAGTGTTAAGAAATACCTAAGGCATCAATGACCTGACTTCTTTTAGTGGTGAGACTTGGTAAATGTTTTCGTTCCAAGGAGGAAATGAAGACTATGGATCATTCTGGACTAAGACCCACCAGCAGGGGGCAGTAATCCAGTGACTGGGCCTTGCAATGATTCCAGAAGTGGCTGGAAATAAACACAGATTTTCATGGAATAATCTGGGCAGCTGCGAGTCACCTCCAAAATTACTCTTGGACACCAATACATGAATCTTACCTGTACAATGTGGACAGTACAGGTAAGATTTTAGGTGCTCACTTTATTGTAAATAATTACCGAGAAAGTCATCTGGTTTTGCCCGCTGGGTCGCTGGGCGTCATCTTCCCCTGTTCCCTGCTTGACCATAAGTGAGTTGCACTTACCCAGCTTTCCCCTGGTTCAGCCTCCAGCTACCACTAAGCCTACTCTCACTACACTCATCTGATTAGCTTGAAGAGCAATAAAGAAAGTTAGTGAAACCAGGAGAAAATGATGATCTCAATTTAGCCACAAACCAAGAATAATGTGGCCAGAATTACTGCCGCCTCCCCAAAGTTACTCTGTCAATGCAATTAAATGCTGGTCTAAAGGTATCGCCTTTTTGACAGGATGAGAGATTATTTCACTCTCCTTGCTAAATCAGTCCAATTTAAAACCACAAATTATGCTAAATGTGATTTAGGACTTTGTTTTGTGGACACAAACAATAAGCCCACATTCAATTTACCAAACCTCTCCCAGCCTTTTGGTGTGCATGTGAATTTTTAAAGATTCCATCCAAGCTTAAGGGGGGGAGGGGTGGGGAATCACATGGCCAATATTCTTTCTAACCTACAGAATGTTTTCCCTCAGCCATAATAAAAATCAAAAGAAAGTTAACACTCAGACCTGTCTGGGTGGGATTCCATTCATTCTTCCAGCCAAAAGAGAGGTCTCATTATGAGCTCAGTGCCATACTCTTTGCATCTAGCATTACAATGTTCTGGGGATAAAGTTAGCTATGTTATTTAAAGAAAGTAACTAACAAAAGAAGGGATATCAAGGTCAAAACTGAAACAGGCTTAGTGCTTGGGAAACAAGCAAATCCTAACAAAATTATCCCTGAAAAATAAAAAAGTGGATACAAATTGTGCAATGACTAATTCATACACTTACACAGCACAAATAATTTTAACTATTTTGAGAAGGTGGATGTAATGTTTCACCAGTCAAAATCCTCTACTGAATTTTTCAAGATATTTACATGACACATTCTCAAAAAGCAGCATTTTAAAATATAGCTAGACAATGAGCATCAATGTATTTCTTATTATGCTCCCAAGCCATTCCTTTTCCAGACCAGCTATACCCACACAATCTAGAGACAACATGGAGCTGAGCACACAGAAGGGACAGATGAGCAGTGCATTGTCTGACCCACTGGGTGTGCCCTGGCCTGGTCCTTGGAGGGCTGACACAGGCCCCTTCCAACTCAGCCCTGGACATGCTGTATGTGTCTTACTCAACACACAACCTCTCTGAGCCTCCATTTCCTCAAAGATAAAATGAGAAAGCTGGATTATAGCCATTTCTAAATTGTCTTCCAGCTGGTTTTAAGACTCTATGATTCTAAGAAGAGATATGAATTATGATAATGGATTTAAATAATGCAACAATGGACCCCCAATTAGGAAGTTCAGTCATGTAGAACTTTCCTTCCAACAAAGAATTCAGTATCATTTTCTGTTTCACCAGTGACGATTCCTTTAATTTTTAGACTTCAGTTGTTAGATGTGGAAGAAAGGTTCTAACCATTCTTAGGTGTTCCCTGGTTTCTAAATGTCAACTCTGCTCCAATCACAGGACCAACAACCTCTGGCGGACTCAGCCCAGGGCTTCTCCTGGTGTTCTAGAAAAGGCAACAAGGTTGTAGCCATGTCAGCCTAATAGCGTGCCCAAAGCCTGGTTTCAAAGTTATTTTCCAGGGTTTGTAATGGTTCAGACTAACAAGCTCAGCATGACCCTTTTTCCTTCAAGTTCTCCCAAGTCAAAGAACCTGAACATTATTCTAGAGTTTCATCTATCTCACAGGCTGGCCCAGACTCAGCAATGTAGCATGTGCATGCATAAACATACACACACCCAAAGTTTCTGGATGATTCCACAAGAAGTTCAAAGTATGTGAAGGACTCATTAACAGCTCCTTTAAAAGTTCCCTCAGGCAGGAAAGTTCACAACATGCTTCCCTTTCTCCACCTCACTTTGCACACAGCTCTGTTCCTTACAGTTTTACTCCTACTAGAAGGACCTGTGCCCACTCTCAGCAGTTATACTTACTTACCAGGTGACGCACACTTGAAGTACGTTTCACACCATCAGTGTTACTCTTAAGAACAGGCTTCCTAACTAGTTAGCCTCTAGTGAACAGCCCTCCCCAAAAAAGAACCAGAACAATCAAAATAAACTACTGACACAGCAGCAGGAGTTTCTCTCTAGGAGGACTTTTTTTTTTTTCATAAAATTAACAATTCTGCAACCAATAATGTATTTTTATAGCATTTTGGGAGTTTACCCATAAAATAGCAAATAGGATATGCTCCAGAGCTAGACTATCCAGTGGGCACCGACTAGTTATGTAGCCATTTGAACCTAGATTAATCATAATTAGATAAATAGTTCCATCATTGGGTCACACTAGCCATACTCGAAGAGTCTGTGGCTATTTGCTCCCAGGTTGGACTTTTCCACATTGCAGAATGTTCCATTGGCAGTGCTGATCTACAGCAATGGATCTCAAACTATGAAGCATATCAGAATAAACCAGAGGGCTCATGAAAACCTGGACAGGGGCACCTAGAGCTCCTGATTCAGTAGGGCTGGGGTGAGACCTGAGAACCTGCATTTCCCACATGTTCCTAGTGAAGTTGATGCTGCTGGTCTGGAAACCATATTTTGGTCCAGAGAACTTCTAATTCATTAGCAAGGTCAAGATCATTAATGCAATGCCTATTTCCTTTATCCCACAAAGTATCGATGATGAGTGTCATAATTGAGCTTATCTACCTTCATATTCCTACTGAACCCACAGATTGACTTAAAAAATGAACAAAGCAAGATACACCAGGTGGACAATCCCCTCAATCTGAGCGCTACATTCAAACCGTTCTAGCCAATGTGCTGATCCAATGCATATTTTCATGGAGACATCAGTTATCAGGAAGATGCACAACCTTCAAGGGAAGAAACGCCCTATATTCCCTAGTTCAGTGAATCAAGCAGCAAATTCATCATGACCAAGTGTGGTCACATGGAGAGTTGTCACTTGTTATACTTTGGCTTCGAAAACATTGAGGCCTAACAGAAGAATGCCAGTGGAGGGCGGGGAAGTGACAGCACTGGC